GCCATGTTGGTCCCAGGATATTACAGAGACAAGGTGGGTGAGGTAATATCTTTTATTGGACCAACTTCTGCTGATGAGAGAGAGAAGCTTTCAAGCTTACCCAGAACACTTCTTCAGACGAATTTCTGTTGGTCTAATAAAAGACATTACCTCACCCACCTTGCCTCAAGAAAATATTTATCTATCATCAGCAAAACTGGTGGTGCAGCCAGATAGAATCAGTGTGGCTGTGTGGTATAGACTGCAGTACATGGCCAACGCCAGACATAGCAAGTTGCCCTGCAGACTGACGGCACTGCTCATGAGTTCCTGGGTTCCTTTGGGTCCAAAACCATACGCAGTTTATTATGAAATAAAGATCTCCATCATTTTAGGATTCAATTTCCTTCTATCCCATAGAGACTTCTTGTTAAATGAAGTCTCAGTATAGAAAGTGAGATTAAAAAAACCCACACATTCTGAGAGCTTAGACTTCATTTGCAAAAATGTAATTGGATGCTGGTGTTTCAGTGCTTGTTGCTTCTTGCTTCCATCTGCTGGTGGAAAGTTGAAAAGGCAAGGGACACGGAAAATACCTCTATATTTGGAGGAGGGGGAAAAAATGCTCATTTTTAGAAGCATCTAAATCCCATTCCTGGTAGCAGAGCCATCTGCATATATTCGATAAATGATACTAGCGAGCCTCTTTTGCTTTAAATGTCATTGCTACATCAGGAGAACTTCCTTGTAAAACTCATCTATCACAGTTGAGATGATACTAACCGACAGAAAAAACTAAATGCTCTTCTGTTGCTCATCTTATGCAGTAAAAGGCATTTAAGGCAACGAGTTCTAACAAAGTTGTAAGAACATTATGAACTGTTCCCTTCCCTTTGGAATCAGAAAAGCATCAGAAAGCGGAGATGTGAAAAACTCAGTATATCAGTAACTAATTTACAATCCGGCAAACGCATTGGTTACTGTCATGCTGTTACTCCTAATTCTTTCCTGCCTTTGACCCCTGGTGTCTAGATTCTAACTTGTAACCATTAGTGGAGATGGATCAAGACGCTGGCCTTCTCGTGCCACAAATGGAGCTGAGAGGGGATTTAAACTCCCTGCTTTTCAGTGTGGTGAAATGAACACAGCAGTAGATTAATGCAAGGATTTGAGCTCACACAGCATGAGAGCTTTCAAAAATAGTGTTAACAGAGCTACAACTGCCTCTTTCACAGGAAGCAAAAGGAGAGGGACAAAAACATGAACAAACACAGGGCAAAGTCTTGTCATTGCTGTTGAGGATACAGTGGCTCCTGGGTGCAGTGGGACTGGCAGGTGGGCCACTGAGAGCCCAAACAGGGGCTTTCCACACCCATAGCATGCTGCAGTGACTGGTTCTGCAGCCATGCAGGCAGGGACAGAGTAAGGGCAGCGTGCCCATGGATCCACAGTTATGTGTAAAGAGGTGGAGTGCAAGGGCAAGTGTGTGGACAAGGCAGCCCAGGGCACTGCTCTCTGGCCTGAGGGAGACTTCCTTGCCTCACCTTCCTGTTCATTTGGGTTTTGGACCTGGGTTGAGGATTTGGCATATAAGCAACGACAGCTGGGTTAAAATGATGTAAAGGAAGGACAGATTTTTCTTTAATATAGGGCCCTCTTCTGAACTGTTTTATGCAAGGGAGCAAAGGGGCTTAAGGTGCCCTATTACTGCCTTGCACAGGCTATGAGAGCGCATCCTCCCAGGGGGCTGTTACTTCCCCTCCTGTGGGCAGGAAGTGATTGCAGGGCCTGCACAACTGCATGTCACCCCTCGGTCAGGGTTTGTGACAAAGCTACACTTGGGGAGCCCCTCATGGTGCCAGGTACACCTGGAGGTTCCAGTTTAATAGGTTCCTACAGACCTATCTAGTCCAGGAACCCTTCCAACTACAAAACAGTGAGGTCACCTCGGTTCTGGAGCTGATCCTGTGCTGTGGAAGACAATGGAAGATTTCCCATTGGTTTCAATGAGAATAGGATCAGAGCCTCTGTGCTTTGTTTTGTGATATTTCTCCTTCTGTGCCTCCAGGCATGGACCTGGTTATTTGTTATCTGTGCTTATACTGCAGTGCTGGGACTTCAATGGTACTAGCTATATACAGACTAGTACCTAGGTTTGGAGAAGCACTCGGAAGTTTCCAAAAAGAAAAGGAGTACTTGTGGCACCTTAGAGACTAACCAATTTATTTGAGCATGAGCTTTCGTGAGCTACAGCTCATTTCATCGGATGAAGTGAGCTGTAGCTCACGAAAGCTCATGCTCAAATAAATTGGTTAGTCTCTAAGGTGCCACAAGTACTCCTTTTCTTTTTGCGAAGACAGACTAACACGGCTGTTCCTCTGAAACTCGGAAGTTTGTCTGCTTAGCTGAACTATCCCAGCCACTTGGATTGGCACAGCTGGGCTGGAAATAATCTCAAGAGAAAAGATTCTCTCATCCGATCTCCACAGCCTCCCCTCAGGCTTGGCATATCTTAGGGATAACAGCATTTTTGCTTTGGATGGAAGCAGAAAGTGCAGAAGAGTGTGCAAATGAAAAATACATTTTAAAAAAGTGACCATGTTTGTTTCATATATCCTTTCCCCCTCTCCATCAGAAATGGCTTGGTTCAGTTCATGTCTAGGGCAGATGCCCAGGTAGGTTCTTATTTTATCCAAATGGGTTCATGTATTCCTGATTTAGAATCAAATGCTGGCTCGAGAGTATGGCAAGAGACGCCAGGTGTGTGCGGGAGTCATTCAGGGGGGCTCTGAAGACGGGAAGGGAATCCTTCTTCCTTCCCCCATGTGGGTGCCTGAATAGAGGGGACATATACAGGGATGTGTCCACCAGCTCCCAGTCTGCCCCACCCACAGAAATGCCTTGCCTGTGGGCTTCACAGCAGATGGGAAGCCTGCTCTGCCCTCATGAATTCCTAGGGCTTGTCTGCACTGCAGAAACTTTCTCATCGGTTTTCAGACCACTTCAGATGAAGTGGTTTCAAAACCAGACAGAGCTGCTTAAGCTGACCTGATCCATTTTTGCTGAAACAATTTCAAGACTGCCTAGAATCCCCCTGCCATAGTGGATGGAAGTGTATCAGCTCTGGTGTCATCACGGTCACCCGGGACAGCATTTGAATGTGTACAGTTTGGACTGGGTGGAGTTTGGTGCTAAAGCTTACCATAACTCTGCCTGTGAATGGGCCTGTTTATTCTGTTGACATCAGAAAATTCCTTTCCTTGGGTCAGATTATGCTACCCTTTGTCGCATAAGGATTGCTTTATTCCACAAGCAGTCTGGGATAGTTTGTGCTATAAAATATTGATCACTGTTATGAGTGAGAGTATCCCAATCCAGCACTTAGTGAGGAAAACCGTTCATTTCCCCCCAACTGTCTGCTCTGTGCTCCCTCCCCAGCCAGACTAGTAAGTTGCTGAAGAAGGCGACACATTCCAAATTTCACGCCAGTTTGATTAATGTGTCTCGGCTAATTGTGTGAAAGATTCCAGTCTTTTAGAATGTGAGACCAGGTTATTGTTCATCCAATCACAGTTAGCATGTGAAAATGGGGGATGTTTAGTGTCCAAGTGCTGGAGTCAAAGGAGGGGTGTCTTGGAGTGGGTCACAGAGCAACACCCACTCCTTTGAAGGGATGTTACTATGCTCTACTAAACATGTAAACCTCTTGCTCAAAGCACTTCTTTTCCCTCCTCCACTTTTTTCAAGATAGATATTCCCCGCTCCCACCTCTCAGGGAGTGAGTGAGGTCTAGGTCTGCAGATGGATAGATTTCACGTTCCAGGGTTTTTAATATTTCACTTTTATATTTCTCTGAGAGAATGATCCTGCTGAGAGGCTGAGAATCAGTGCTCATCATTTCCCCCTCATTGACACTTGGATATATTGCACTGAAAGATATCCCAGAAGAAAACATTAATGAGAGAGAGAGAGAGAGAGCCTGCTTTTCAAAGCATACTTCTCAATCTGCCCACATCAAAATAAGAAACAACTGGCCCTTTGAAGTTCAGGACACAGACTTCTCAGCCAGCCTGCATGGAAATAGAATAAACCAGCTTTATAAATCACACACACTTCTCACCTTGCCCACATCAGAATCAGGGGCAGTGACCTTTGAAAGCAAGGTTTAAAGGCCTCAGACCTCAGCTCCATAAGAATAAAAGGCATAGTTAGATCATACCTACAAGTATTTGTCATCTTGTCCAGTGTAAAGTAGGAGATGCTGGCCCTTTAAGTTGAACAGTAGACTAATTAGGGCTTGTCTACCCTCGCACTTTACAGCGCTGCGATTTTCTCACTCAGGGGGGTGAAAAAACACCCCCCTGAGTGCAGCAAGTCTCAGCGCTGTAAGGCGTCAGTGTAGACAGTGCACCAGTGCTGGGAGCCGCGGCCCTCATGGAGGTGGGCTTTTTCGAGTACTGGGAGAGCGCCCTCCCGCGACTGAGAGCGCGCCCTGCCGTGACTACACAAGCCACGTTAAAGCACTGCCGCGTAGACTAGCCCTAACTAAGGCTCTGTCTCATACGAACCTTTCCGTGGCACAGCTGTAGTGGTGCAGCTGCACCACCGTAAGGTCTCCTGTATCGTTGCTCTGTGCTGGCGGGAGAAAGCTCTCCCACCAGCATAACTGAACCACGCCCAACAAGTGGCGGTAGCTATGCCAATGGGAGAGCATCTCCCGCTGACATAGTGCTGTCCACACGAGCGAATTTGTCAGTAAAACTTATGTCGGTCCCGGGGTGTTTTTTCACACACCTGACCGACATAATTTTGCCAACAAAAGTGCTAGTGTAGGCAAAGCCTGACTCTTCAGCACTTGGTACAATAAAATGTTAAATCAATCTAAGCTTTAGGGATGTACTAAGACCCCCCCACCTAATTTCTGCAAGGCATTGCATTTTTTTAATGGAAAATTACTGATCCAGTTCTTAAAAGGTTAGTAACTCAGAGTGCATGTAGAAGCTCTTTCTGTGAGACTGTACCTGGTTTATAGTTGGGAAGCTTGGAAAGTCCTGGCCAGGTATCCTCAGTTGGGACCCCCAACACCTGTGTGGGGCAAGAGATCAGAAATCAACTGTTTGAATCCATTTGTACAGTCTGAGACAGAGTCAGATTCTGACCTCAGTTACACTAGTGTGAATCCAGAGTAATCCCTTGGAAATCAATGCATTTACACCTGGACCTACTCTAGTGTAGCTGAAATTGAAATCTGGCCCTATGTGTAAAGGAGAGATATGCTTTAGTACTGCTGAATTTATAGTAAAAAGGGACTTGCCAAAATTTAATGCCACTGCTGCTGGGAATATCAATGTACATGTGCAGCTGCACTGACAGGTGTCATTTACAAGGGTATGTGCAATAACAGGGTCATTGTATAGCCGTGTTTACAGCTAAAGATGTCCCTCTAGGGCCAGGATTATATTGATGAGTTGTTCTCTGCAGTTGTACTTGCACCACATGATATGCATTCAGTGGCCATGCACTGTAGCTGTAATAGAGACCCCTGCTGTTTCGAGATCAAAAAGAAAAGATAGTAAACATCTACTGACAGGTGCTAAAAAATAATTCAGGGCCTGATTCTGAGAGGTGCTGAGCCTCAACGTCTCCTTTTGCCTTGAATGTCAATCAGTGCAGCTCAGCACCTCTCAAGTAGTGGAGTTCAGGCCAGTAAGTATCCCCTAAGGTCACTTTTGCTGCAGGGGACTATGAGACTGAGCACATATGTATACATTTTCTCTTTGGAATTGCAGCTGTTCAGTGTGATAGTTATTATTTATTACATACAAAGTGCCCTGCGTATAACACTCTGTAAATGAGCTGTGCCAAACACGTAAAGCTCATACCCAGTTTATGGCATGAGATGATAGAAACAGTACTGCCATCTCCAGGCATTCAGAAATCTGAGTCAGGCCCCCAAAATCATTTATTTGCTTTCTGCTTTTAGAGCCTTTTAGATTGCTCTCAGGTTTTATTCTGCAACCAGGAGGGCTAGGAACTTAACCTTTCTTTAAAATGAAAGCTAAGATTCTCATATAATCACCTGACATCAGGAGCTGGGTCTTTAAGTAAACACCAAATATTAAGAGACTTGTGATAAAATTGCAAGAGTTGACAACACTGTGAAATATGATACAGACAGCAAATATGGAGAGTGGTCATTAAAAGTGGCATGCATTTTTCACCTGTATTTTGGAAACAATAATGAGGCTACGATGAAAATTCCTAGACTCTGCAAGATGGGCAGAACAGCTAGGGTGACTGGATGTGGATGAGGATACATTAATTTATAAATAGCACATTTATAGCACAAATAGGATATGTTATGTCTACAGATTGGCTCAAAGCAAACCCCAGACCTGCACACCCCTAAATCGTGGGGGAGGGGGTCATTTATAATCTGAACCTGAGTTCAGAATTGTGCAGTAGACTCTTATCTTTTTAACAAGCCACATCAAAATTCTGAATCTGAAATCCCTGAAATACACAGTGTAGAAAATCCAGCTCTACGTTTTGAAGTCTTCTTCCTACTGACAGGTTTCAGAGTAACAGCCGTGTTAGTCTGTATTCACAAAAAGAAAAGGAGTACTTGTGGCACCTTAGAGACTAACCAATTTATTTGAGCATAAGCTTGAAGTGAGCTGTAGCTCATGAAAGCTTATGCTCAAATAAATTGGTTAGTCTCTAAGGTGCCACAAGTACTCCTTTTCTTTTTGTTGTTCCTACTGTAATTCTGGCCCTGACTCTGCTACATGCTGAGCACCTCCTGTGAGCTACGGAGAGTCTTTAATTCCTACAGAAGTCAGTGGAAAGTGAGAGAGTTCAGCACCTGGCAGAATTTGGCTCTGTAGCCCAATGCAGCAGATCATCCTGTTCAGCAAAGTACTTAAGAATGCACTTAACTGTAAGTATGTGCTTAAGTTCTTTGCTGAGCAGGGAGAGATTAAAGTGCATAGTTAAATGCTTTGCTGGACTGGAGTGTGAATGAGGCATGGGCTCGGAATATCAGTATATAGTATCAATTACACAATTTCATCAGAAGCTAGAAATACATTTTTTCAGTCTGCTCTTTAAAAGTTGATGTGGTCGCAAACCATGACATTTGGGTCCACTGTTAAATTCTCAGGGATTGGGATCCAGGGCTTTGTTTTGAGTTTGACCCCTCAATGAATAGGTTCCTGATTGGAATCTAGGCCTGGACTCTATATATTTAATTGATATGAACATACTCCTAAGATTACTTTACCCTTTACAAGTCCTTCCTACATTCTTTTAATCTAGTTATAACAAATCTCTGGGTCAAGTTATCGAACATTTTGTATGGAAAAACAAGAAGCCTAGAATTAGCATTAGTAAGTTAAAATTGCTCAAGGAAACAAGGCATCTTGTCCTCCCAGACTCTCACGGTGCAGCATCACTACATCTGATATAGGAATGGCAAAATTTCTGTTTCAGATAGCATGGCACATGACTGAACAGAATGTGATTTCTCCTGAATACCTTAACCTCTTGTCTGACAAATTACATGCCATTTTCTAAAATCAATCTGATTGAAGCCCTATCCCTGAAAAATAGCCACAAAATCTGCACATTTCTAAATATAAAACATCCTTTGATTGTCACACTTGTTGTAGGATTCACTCAATTTCAGCCTGCAAAGAAAAATAAAATATTAATTCCTAGACCAGGAAAGATATTGTTCCCTCCTCGTAATATTCTTCTGCCCTTCAGTCAACTGCATCAACACCACTATAAAGAAACAAAATGATTTTACATGTGCTGAATCCAGCTGTCTCTACCATTTCACACAACAAACATATTCAGTATAAAAACAGTCCAAAGCATTTTATTTCCCGATGTCACACACTCCTACAGAATGCTGTAGATGAAAAATATCCTCCTATACAACATGTCTGGAACTAAGACACAGGTAAGGAAATGTCACAGCCTGACTGGGCTAGAGCACTTGCTACCATTCGTAAAACAGTTTGTAAAAAAGTTCATACAAATGCAATGTTATATTCTACAGAGACCACCCTCCCACCTTGTCTGTTGGCTGCTTTGTGTTACCAGCCCTCTTATATTTTTCCCTTGTGTGCTTTAGCTGGGTAACATTTTGGACAATTAATTGGTAGAGCTTGCCTTATTTTGGCCCCATTCCTAGAACCACATGGGTGAACTCCTGTACCCACATTGAGCCCTACAGAAGTCACTGACAGTCACTGAATGTGTGACTATCTAGTGCAAAATTCGTTTCTGACACCTGGGAGCTTTGAGCTAATAATTTAAGCTTATTAAGCTTACTTCTATCTACAACACACGTTTTTAAAGAACACATTTTACTTTATCAGACTCTCAGCCTTGCTGACTAGTTTGGATCAATGCTCATTTCACAGCGTCAGAACTGTCTACGTTGGTGTTGATTCTATACAAACAGCTTCAAACTGAGAAAGCACACCAGACATAGGCTGAAGATTTTCAAAAGTGACTTGTGATGGAGGTTGCCTCAGTTTTTGGTACTTAAATTGGGACATTTTAAAGGACCTGATTTTTAGAAAATACCAAGCACCTATCCTCTAAACATCATTTAAAGTGTCCCAAGTTGGACACCCAACAGTCGCTAATCATTTCTGAAAATCTTGGTCTCAGTATAGTCATCTTCCTGATGTAATGTATAACAACAACGAACCTTCTGTGTAATGGGTTAACTATTTCATGGCTCTTAGACCTTCCTTCTGATTCTTAAATATTATTTCTGTCTTTTGTAGTATGAATTATTAACCCAACGCATAAGAAGCTTTCAAACAGCTCAGATATATAGTGACCTAAATTAAACCGAAGTAATTTGTAGTGTAGACATAGCCTCGGGCTTGAGGCTAAAGAACCATTTTCCTACTGCCTTGGTTGAAGAGTTCTGTGTTTTCTCCTCTTTGGATCAATCACCTTTTGGAAGGTCCCATTTCAGAGGGGTAAGTCCACAGAGAAGCTGAAGATGTGGCCAGAGGATGGCAGTGTTGGCCACTCAAAGCAAAAAATAACAAGAAGCTAATGTTTCATGTTTCTGAAGAGTCAATGACCAAGAGCAATATACAACAGCGCATATATTGGTTACATCCACCTTGATTTAGCCCAGGTGCAGGGAGATGTAGGTCATTCAGCAGCTCAAATAAAGGATGGGACACTGCAGGTCATAGAAATGAGTTCTCATTCAGAAATTCTATGTCCTCTAGTGAATTCCCTAATAGACTTCATTAGAATACTCCTACTGGTCTCTCCTTATTCCTTCTAGTTCTTCTTCGAGTGCTTGCTCATGTCCATTCCATATTAGGTGTGTGTGCTCACCACATGCACCGGTGCCAGAAGTTTTTCCCTAGCAGTATCCATAGGGGACCGACATTCCAGGTACAGCCTGTAAGCCTTTCAAACTGCAGCAATCTCAGGGCCAAGGAAGTCAAACCCAACAGGAGCCTCCCCATATGAAGAGTAGGGGTGACAAGCACCGCCTGAACCACCCACCTCCTCCCTCTGCCCAGTCAGGCTTGACCCGCAACAAGTAGGGGGGGCAAGCGAGCATTTTGAGTGTGCGCTCAAGGGTGACCTACCAGACTTTACCCCGGATCCATCTGTCCTGCCATTCTCCAACTGCCTTTCTTTTTTCCTTCCTGCATGGACAGCTATAACTTCAGACCGCTGGGTCCTCAATACTGTGGTGGAGGGTTATATTCTACAGTTTACCTCCTCCCGCAACCCCTTTCCCCATCCCTCTTCAGGGACCCTTCTAACGAGAGTCTCCTCGCACAGGAGGTAAAGGGGTTGCTACAGTTGGGTGCGGTGGAAGAAGTTCCTCTCAAGTACAGAAACAAGGGGTTCTATTCCCAGTACTTCTTGATCCAAAAGCCAAGGGTGGTCTGTGGCCCATCCTGGACCGGAGGGACCTCAACAAGTATCTAAAGAAGCTAAAGTTCTGCATGGTCTCCTTGGCTTCTATCATCCCCTCCCTGGATCCAGGAGACTGGTATGCTGCCCTCAACGCGAAGGACGCGTACTTC